TATTTTGTGCCTTGGTTTTTCCACACGCTTCTTGTGACCATGTTGACTATTTTGAATGAAACGCTTGATTGTTCGATGGTCACGTTTCAGAAGCTTGGCAATTTTAAGAGTGCTGCATCCCTCTGCAAGATATCTCACTATTTTTGACTTTTCTGAGCCTGTCAAGTCCCTCTTCTGACCCATTTTGCCAAAGGAAAGGAAGTTGCCTAATAATTATGCACACCTGATATAGGGTGTTGATGTCATTAGACCACACCCCTTCTCATTACAGAGATGCACATCACCTGATATGCTTAATTGGTAGTGGGCTTTCGAGCCTATACAGCTTGGAGTAAGACAACGTGCATAAAGAGGATGATGTGGTCAAAATACTCATTTGCCTAATAATTCTGCACTCCCTGTACACTTCCTTATGCAAAATATCTACATGCAATAAAAGTGAAGCAGAAGTGGAACTGTTGATGTGCTGAAGAATGTGGTACTGGTTCTTACAGCTCTGGTGTTTGTTTCCTCTTGCCTTAGGTTTCCTTGTGATCATGCATCCTAGCCAGATGTTTATGCCTGAAGTGAAGACTTTGTACAGTGGTATTCTGGTTGACAGCTCCTCATCAATCAACCTCAAAATCCAAATCCTCAAAAACCTCCAGACGTACCTTCAAGAGGAAGACACACGGATGCAGGAAGCGGACAGAGAATGTATGTGTAGCTCTGCCTGTCGCTCCTGTTTACAAAGACAATTATATTCAACACATTAGAGGTACCTATATGAAAATACAGGATGGTGGTCTGCCTGCTGGGCATTGCTGCCTGACGCACCTCCACCAGTGCCTTTGTGCTGGCATGCTCATCTGAACACCTCCCTGGGCCCCACTAGTGCCTGAGTGTCACTAGCGGTGCCAACTTACCTCAAGGGTGATTTCCTTGGTATGATCACAGGGTGGGGATTAGGGCTGTGGCAGGGGAATTATTGGGGGTCATCCTTATACTTACCTTCAGTGTAAGGGAAGGGGCTGAGGTAAGGGATGGGGTGGAATAGAGTGGCTTACTGGACTATGGCATTTCCTAGTTGGTTGTTTTTATAAATTGGCTATCTTACTGTAAGACACATTTTCAGTAGTGGACCTTGGGGTCATCGAGTGTTTCGGCCATTATCACTAGACACTCTCCCCCTAGGAAGGCCCCGCTGGGGTTGATCATGCCCCAGGGTGTGTCTTCGCCATCGACTTGTTTCGCAAGACCATCATCAGAGGTTTCAGACAAGACCTCTTCACTATGATCCAGGGAACCTGCAGCATTGCAGGGCTTTTCTCATTTCACTGCACCTCTTTGATGACAGTGCTGTGAGTGTAAAATATCTTGTGACTCATGTTTGAAGAGCTTAATGTCCAGTGTAAATCTCCTGTTCACCTAGATGACACTTATGATCTTTTATGCATATGATAAACATTTTTCTGCTGGAGTTCTGTGTTTACCAGACAGAAGTGCTCAATTCAACATACTGAACAAAATTGCTAGTAATCATTTTACCTTTTTAACTATTAAAAAATGTAATTATAACACAACCCTTCCCTTTTTCCAGAAAACGGAGGTGAATATGCTGCTGTTTATAGCAGACAATTTGGCTTGTTTCCCGTACCAGAGCCAGGAGGAGCCTCTCTTCATCATGCACCACATTGACATCAGCCTGTCAGTTTCTGGTAGCAACCTGTTGCAAACCTTTAGAGAGGTTGGTTTTCATTTCAGATAAAACATTTGCTTGTACATCTTGTTGTCTGCTCTTAAGCAGCTTTCAATACATGTTTTTGTGTCTGTACAGCTTTTGTTAAAAGAGCCGAGGAAAAAGGAGAAGAAGGTAAAGAGGGAGTGGAAGAGCACATCAGACGGGGAGGACGAGGAGGAGAAGTTGAACTGTGACTCCCCCAGAAGCAGTGATGAAGAACACCGCAACAGAAGGGAAGATGGAGAAAATGATGATGAAAATGTGGTACGAAGACCAAAAAATTCCAAGAAACCTATCGACAGTTCAGAGTTTTATAATTAAGTGTTTTAACTTTGACTTTTCTTTCCTGGAAGTAGTAAGGACGATGGCAAAATTAACACAAGTTGACTCTTGAGTCAATTTGGATTATACAAAGAGAACCTGTTTTTGTTTTTTTCACACTGAAATATGGCACGAATGGAAGGAAAATGGACAATGGAAGAGTTGATGATTTCAAGAATTGCTGATGGACAATGCCATTGTAGTCGTATAGACTGCCATTGTAGTCATATACACTCAATTTCCACATTGACACATTGTGTCTGACCACACATGGTCAGACACAATGCTCGTTAGACTCTGCATGCAGAAGCAGCAGCTAAATGAATATAAACACTGCGCTGTGTACTTTTATAGAGTTGGAAACAATGGATTAGGAAGCAGCTGTGAGACTGGCAAGAATGGGAAACTCTCAGTAGACTCGTAACTGGATACTGTATGTTGCAGCGGTGTCTGACTGGACAGAGTAAAGTGTAAACTCTCAGTAGGCTCTGACTGTAGATTGCAGTAGTATACTGTATATTGCAGTAGTGTCTGACTGGACAGAGTGATGTCCAGTCAGACACTGATGTCTCGCAGAAATCCCCGGCAGTGTAAAAGAGATAAAAGAAGTAAAAATAAGAAAGAGACGTGTGGTGAATTAGAAGCTGGACTGGAATTGGGTCTTCCAACCCGGTTGGAATTGACGTATGGAGCGAAGCGCGCTTTAGTGTAAAAGCTATGTAGGACACGTGTACATGTTGACAGTACAAGTTTAGGCTGATCACCTTTGGGACTACAGGGTCAACCCCGGATTTTATGATAATACGTGAAAAGGCAATTCACTAGAAATTAAGCAAGACATTCTGGAGAAGCCAAGGAAAAAGTGAGCGAAAACACACACATACGAGTAAAACAAAAAACGCAGCGCTGGCAACTCAGAGGTCTAAGTAAGGCTCACATAAAGGTTATTCCAGTCGGCAAAGGATAAGTACAGGGGTCATATAGCTTATGTGCATTTGTATAAATACATATAAACTCATATAATCACTGTATATATGTGCTACATGTAAAGCAACATTGGTGACAAAAATTGCTTGTAGCTCTGGGACAACCCAGAATGTGATTAAAGTAGCTGAAGATAAAACAATTCATATTTGGCAACTTTGTGAAAAAAGATTTGTAATTGGGTTTGGAAAAGAATATATCAGAAGTGTGAAAATCTGCGGTGTGAAGTTCAAAAGGAGTCTATGTGACTGGTCTTACCCCCCACCCCCCTTTTTTTCTTTTTTTCCCTCTCTCTGGATCGAACTGAATGAGCTGTATGTTTGGATGAATGCCTAAATGTTCGTGTGCAAGTGTGACATACTTGTTTCAACAATGCTGAAGTTCTAATAATTTGTTTTTTGTTTCTTATATTTGTGGCCGATTTTTGTGGCTGATATTTGATTCGGATAGCTGTTTTAACAAGCTGAAGTTTTAAAAGTGAAGAATTGTTTTTTGTGTGTTAGTAAGCTTACAGGGTTCGGTGTAAGAAGATGTTCATGTTAGTGCATTAATTTCATTGTGCCTTTAAATCTGGGTTTGATGTTGTTGAATTTGTGTCGCAGTAAGAAAAGTTTTTGGGGTGCTCAGCAAGAGATACTGGTGCTGTGCACTAAATATTGAAGGAATCACCATTTTGAAATTGGGCCTAGTGCATAATCTCCATTTTGAAACGAACACCATTTTGAAATAAACATTGCGCAGTGTTAGATTTCAATGGTTTCCAGTGGTTTTTTCACATTTGGTTGGGTCTGCACCAAGACACCAAAAGGCTTTCCTGAGCACACACAGTCACATAGCCACACACATTCTAAGAGAATTTCCCCAGATTCTGTTCACACCAACCCCCTAAGAACACCTCTGCTCCCTGGAAACAATGGGAGATCTTCACACAACAATGGGAGATCTCCCAATCTACCTTCTCACAGGGAACCCCGAAGCCATCCATTCCTTTTGATTTACATGACCACCTGTGGTTGACTGGACTTTATGGCTCCGTCTACCTCCCTTGTGATAACCCCCCACTGAGCAACAAAAGGTTCTTCCAACACTGCTGAATCATGGAACAAGAGTGCCACATAGTGGCGACTGCAGGCATCACATGATAACAAGAACAATAATATGATTGGCCACAAGAGGCCTAGTCTCTCTCTTCCATTGGCCTACAAGATTTAAACACACGCCCGGGACGCCGAAACCACTCCCCAAAAATACGTATAAAAAGCGTAAACCACTGATGACAGAGAGAGAAATATTTTAAAGTACTAAATAACTTTGTTGTATGTTCGTTGAATATTTCCCTGGTTGTTATTTCGCTTTGTTATTGGACCTGTTTTGCTTGACGTTTGTCAATAAAACAAATCGACCTTCTACCGGCTGCTTCCACTCCTTGCCTGAAGACACCTCACACAGCAAGAATCTTTCAGCAGTTAAAAATTCGAGAAAACACCAGGGGGGTAAACATTAGTTGAAGTCGCCTAGCAACTAGACATTAGCAATTAGCCGAGGTAGCCTAGCAACTAGCATTTATCTGCAAGCCTAAATAGCATAGCGGCAATTAAAACCGATGTATTAACTAGCATCAGCATAGCATAATTGGTTTAAATATATAAATAGCATAGCAAAACAAAAACTAATTCTGCTCAGTTAGTGCTAAATCCAACACAGATTTCAAAAAGGCTGCTATGTAATAAACAGAAAACAGTATAACATCAGTATTCAAACACAACACAGTAACATAACAATGGCTGGACGACCCACTGAGATAATGGGTGCTAAATTCCCAGAATATATCAGAGATCACAAAATTGTCTTAAAAATGGGCAAAATGTACAGCAAGCACGCCCACGCCCTGGCCTACGGATGGCACATTTGATGTGGAGATGTGTGAGATTATGGAAAAAGGATCAAAGTACAAGCCAAAAGATAAAAGTAAGAAAAGACAAAGTAAAAGAGAGCTTGAGTTGAAAATTCTAAATTTGTTCAGAAACGAAGGCCAAAAATACCGGAACAAACTTAGAGAAAGTATAATAAACAGCCAAATGAGAAACAATGATGGTCAGCTAACTGCTAACTGCAGGGATTTCTCCCAGCTTAGCTGGCTCAGTTAAATTAACAGGAGATTTTGATATACTTAAAGATGAAACAGAAAATGCTGCACAGATTCTGCCACCTTATGAGAATACTGATATGGACAAGGTGAATGAAACAATCACACACCAAAATTCACACACTAGATCAACCAACAGTACAATATCACGCGGATTAGGTGAAACTAGTATTTATTATAATGAAAATAAAGACAGAACACCGACAAACACCAATGATGAACCAGGTATGCTTCCAAAATACTGCAGCACCAGGAGGAAACCATCCATACTAGGCTGCTACAAAGATTTAAACAGGAGCAAAGCAGGACAATCTTAGATAGCTGAAAGGTTCTTGCTGTGCGAGGTGTCTTCAGGCAAGGAATGGAAACAGCCTGTAGATCAGGGGTGTCAAACTCATTTCCACCAGGGGGCCACATCAGCAATACAATTCCCCTTAAAGGGCCAGTTGTAAATGGAAGATTGAATCGATCATGTATAGCATATATAGAGTTTAGTGAATGCTTTTTAAGCTCCCGTGGGCCACACAAAACAGCCTGGCGGGCCGCATTTGGCCCCCGGGCCTTGAGTTTGACACATATGCTGTAGATGGTCGATTCGTTTTAATAGCAAAACGTCAAACAAAACAGGTCCAACAATAAAGCAAAATAAACGACTGGGGAAGTATTCAAGGAAATCTCATACAATGGTTGTTAATACGCAAATCCTCTCAAGAATAACTTCTAACTTCTCAAGAATAACTTCTAAAGTATCATTAGTTGTTTACGCTTATATACTTGTGTGGGGGGGAGTGGTTTTCTTCTTCCCGCGTGTGTGTTTAAATCTTGTAGGCCAATGGAAGAGAGAGCCTAGGCCTCTTGTGGCCAATCATATTATTGTTCTTGTATCATGTGATGCCTGCAGTCGCCACTATGTGGCACTGCTGTTCCACGATTCAGCAGTGTTGGAAGAACCTTTTGTTGCTGAGTGGGGGTTTATCACAAGGGAAGTGGACGGAGCCCTAAAGTCCAGTCAACCACAGGTGGTTATGTAGATCAAAAGGAAAGGATGGCCCCGTGAGAAGATAGATTGGGAGATCTCCCATTGTTCCCAGGGAGTAGAGGTGTTTTATAAAGTTGGTGTGAAGAGAATTTGGGGAAATTCCCTTCGAATGTGTGGGGCTATGTGACAGTGTGTGCTCGGGAAAGCCGTTTGGTGTCCTAGCAACTACCTGCTGCAGACACAACCAAATGTGAAAACCACTGAAATCTAACATGGTTGAACTTAGATCTGACCGGCATTGACCTACACAGAGAACTAAGTCGATCTCACATACAAGAAATAGAAGAAGACATAGATAACTATCATGATAAAATAAGAGGTAGGCAGATGAATGATGACACTGTTCAGAAATGCCATTGTGGAAGCAACGCCAGACCCAGTCCAGAGTAGACTGGAACAAGTGGTAGGCCTGTCATCAAATGTATTGCCAGTTTTTCCCACCATCCCTGCCCTTATTGTGGGACATCAGGAGCCGTCCCTTAAAATAGGGCCAGGGTCATTGGTTCCTGGAAGAATGCCTGCTGCGGCTGTCTCTGCGACCTGTAGTGGGTCGACGAAAGCCTTCTTCTTTGTCCCTTCCTGCTTCATGCCCGTGGATGCCTCTACCTCCATCTCTGCGGCTCCAGCAGCCTCTTCATCTGTGGGACCTGTTTTTCCCACCCTCCCAGCCCCTATTTTGGGACGTCAGGAGCCGTCCCTTAAAGGGGGGTGTTAGGGTCAGTGCTTCCTGGGTCCGTAGCAGACCCCCTTCTGTTGGTTCCCAGGGTTGCTGCGGACACTCATCTGATGGCTCCTGCTTGGTCTGTGCCTCGGGTGGGCCGAGTGCCAGCGGCACCCAAACCTCGGGTAATTTGGGGATCTCCAGCAATTCCAGAGGTGGCGGCGCTCACTTCCCCAGAGGTTCCTGAAGCTCTCACCTACCCAGTGGTGCAGGAGGAGACGGTCCCCCCCTCCGGTGGTGCCGGGGGTGAAAGTGGCCACACCTCCGGTGGTGCCGGAGGTCATACCTCCGGTGGCTCGTGAGGTGGCAGCGGTTACGCCTCCATTGGTTCGGGAGGTGGCAGCAGCAGCGATGACTCCTCCACAGGTTTGGGAGTCGTCAACGACGGACATCCCTGGTGGTTCCGGAGGTGACGGTGGCCACACCCCCGGTGGTTCGGGAGATGACGTGATCACACCTGCAGTGGTTCCGAAGGTGACCACACCCCCTGTGGGTCGGGAGACGACAGTGGTCACACCTCCAGTAGTTCAGGAGGCGGCAGCAGTTGTGCCTCCAGTGGTCCGGGAGGCGGTGACAGTTGTTGCTCCTTCAGTGGTTCCGAGGGTGACTGAGGATGTCACGCCTCTGGAGGTGCCTGGGGACGTTGCACCCTCGGAGGTTTCTGTTTCTGTGACTGACGCTCCCTCAGTGGTTCTTGGTTCGGCTGGGGGAGACCCTATGACTGTTGGCATGCCTTGGTCTAGGAGAAGGACTCCTTACCAAAGACACAAGTTCCCTAGACCAATGTACAAAAAGGGCCAGGCCAAGTATTAGGGTACTTGGGCCTGGAATTTTTTTTTCTTCTTCCGTTTTTTCCCTTTGGGCCTAGTTTTTTTAGTTTTTTTGAATAGCCCTTGTTTTCAGTTCTGTTTCGGTATCCCACCCACCCAACCCAGAGGGTTGGTGGTAGGCTTTTGGACGTCCAGAGGACGTCCATTAGGATTACTGTCATGTCTGTCTGTTTCCTTTTCATGCTGTGTGGGGTAATCTTTGTGATCACACTCACCTGTCTGTAATTAGCTTCACTTGTGTCACCTGGTGCTCCCTGTGTATATATACCTCTCTCCCTCACTCTGCCCTAGTTGGATCATTGTAATTGGATCATTGTGATTGTAGTTGGATCAGTGTGTAGGTTAGTGACTGTCTTTGTGAGCGCTGTCTTTGTGAGTGCTGTATCCTTCGTGCCAGTGTTGTGTCAAGTTTTTCGTTGTAGCTGTTCCTAGTTTGTTCCTGAGCAGGTCTGTTGCTGTGCTCAACTCTTGTTTGTGTTCTCAGCTCTGCTCGACTTTGCAGTACATTACGCATATGAGTGCAACAGTGGCTATGGGGTATCCAGTTACCATTCTGACACATCACAAAATTGGTGAATTGGTGAACCAAGGTAAATTTGTGATAACTCAAGCTAGGTGTTTGCAGTACATGGCATTGCTAACATATCCAGATGTGACAATACACAGATGTAATACAACAAATTCAGCTAACTTTGTGCCCTCAGAGGAAGAAGGAGAACCCCATGAGTGTGAAGCTGAGACCATGAAGTACACTAGACTAAGGCCGTACATGGAGTCAACACCATTGTTGGGGGCCGAGGTGACATATTCTGTTGATGTTGTTCATAGAGACCACACAGGAACACATGCAGGCTTTGCTGTAGCTAGACAGGAATGTAATGAGTTTAAAACAGAAAAGGCAGAAAGGTGTGAGCAGCCATGCTCAGCACAATTGGCAGAATTAAAAGCACTAACTGAAGCATGTAAACTAGCCAGAGGAAAGACAGCAAACATATATACTGACTCAGCATATGCTCACGGAGTATGTTATTTGTTTGCGTCTGTGTGGAAACAAAGAGGGTTCCAGAGAACTGACGGAACGCCAACTCAACACTACAACCAAATTAAAGAACTACTGTAATTGCAGCAAAGGAAATTATGCTGTGATTCGTGGAAACAACGCTGCCGACGAAGCAGCCAAATCAGCAGCTGTATGTCAGGTGGCCATTTTGGCAACAATAGTGACGTTGGAGCCTGTGGCTACCCCAGAAGATATCGTTTTGATACAAAAGAAGCAAC